AGCTCACACTAACACATAAAACATCAAAGGGTCCGGTATGGCTGGAGCAACAGTGAGGATGAAACGACCTTTGGCCCTTTGACCTGCGGTCTCCCTCCCTCGGTTTTACTCCGAACCCGTAACATTAACCTTACTCAACGAGGCTTTCAACTCCTCTTATCTGGGGGGTTATAACCGAGGGGTACACGGCAAAATTAACACAGGGCGGATTCTGGGCTATCGGGGATGCCTGATGGTGGGGTGGCGGCTTTGGGCCTGTCGCGGTGTTGGCGGGGCTTTTGGGCGGATTGGCAATCGTCTTCCCGACGGAATGATGAGGGAACGGGCGGAAGTGGAGGAGAATTCCCAACAGTTGAGAAAGCATTTCCATGCGCCGTTTGATGGAGCGGCTAAGTCTTTATTTGCTTAACAAAGCAAGCCGCTCGGGGTATTGTACAATGAGCGTCTGTTTTCTGTGATCGACCGTGCTGTAGCGTGTCACACCGCGGCCGAGTTGCCGCGCTTAATGGACTCTTCCTAACTCGAGGCTCCAGTTTTCAGGGAAAAGGGACCGTACCCTCAGCCGGATCTTGGTAGGAAATCTATTTTCGATTCGTACGCACCGAACGGATTCTAATGAAATGAGAAATTACCGCGCAAATTTCACGTATTGGTCCGCTTCCAACTTACGAAGTTTTCTAAGCATTCACATGGAAGATGCGCAAAGGATAATCTCAGCATCATTGCAAACAGAGTAACCACAAAGTTTGGAAAATAAAACTCCCTGATATTTCCCTGATTCCCCTGTCGCATCACGGTGAAATTCCCTGACAATTGGAGTTATGCCAAACGGTTAAAAAGACTTAATAAGAAAAAATTTTCGCGCAAAATCTGTTGTTTGAAACATCAAACCCGTTCCAGAGAGCAAATATAGGTGACATAACAATTTCTTCCTGACATTTTCAGGTTTTCCCTGACTTTTCCCGGTATTTTCTGACTAGAGTCCCTTGATAGAGAGTCGAGACAACAACCCCTCATGGAGTCACAAACGGGGATAAAGATTACAGAAATTGAACGTTTTTCGTAATCTTTGATCGGCCCATTCTCAAATTCCTTTCTCCGTTCCTTCTCTCATTCCGTTTGTTCCTTGTCGAACCCGTTATCCCCCGGTCCACTCTATATTATAATCTTTGCAATCGGTGAAAATGTAATCTTTATTCCCGTTTGTGACACTGAGAAGGCCTAAAATACGGGGACCAATCAGAAATGGATTCACATTGTCTTGACTCTCAGTATAAAGGGACTCTACTCTGACTACAAAGCAAGAGGTACCTCATGGCAGAATTTGGAGGTTTCGGCGAAATCTGTGATGGATTTGTAGCTGGTTCGAGGCGCGTGCAACGATTGAAATACGCAAGTTGTTGACGAGACGAGTGCGGCGCGGTGGATAGGGACAGTGGCTGCATGCCGTGCACACACACCCTTCCGCTGCGCCAGGGCCGGAACTCGATCCCTGGCGATCCGATCCCAATCCGAGCCACCGCCGCGCTGTCTGCCGCCGCGCCTCGAGTGGAGCCGAGCCACCGGCCACCCCCTCCCCGCGCGGCAGCCCCGGGGGGTCTTTCATTCCTTTTTTTTCACCCCCTCGTTCTTTTCCGACCGTAATTGTCCTGCGCACGTGAGGGCTCTAATTATAATAATTTTGAGCAACATTCTATTTCACGATCGCTCCCTCCTCGCGAGCCGGGTTGAATGAATTCGGCAGCCGCCTCGTGCTTACGGTGGCTCCGGTTGGAAGTAAATGAGCAGGTAAGCTACCGCCGCACAGCGGAACAAGCTAATAGAAGAGGTCGGACATGAAATGTTTCGCTAAACATTCAGATTTTGATGTTTATTTCGTCAAGAATTCAATTTCGAGGAGTGTTTTAGAAAGAAAATTTCAGGAAAAAACCAATAAAACCGATCTTAAACTTCCTCGATTCAGATTTTCGAAAATATAAGCGTTCAAAGTTTCCAGGTTTTGTCCGATTTTTCCTGTGGATTCGGTCCAGAGTGCGATTTTCAGCATTTACCGATTTCCAGCAATGTGAGTTGTTAACGTTTCGGTCAGTGACTCAATACGAGTTCAAAAGCGGGAGGAGCTTAAAGGGTGATTTTTTCTTTCCACGAATGGTATTAACTCAACCGAACATGTGGACGAGTTTAAATTTTTTGACAAGTCACAACTGTCCCAAGCAAAAGGCAAATTCAAAACATGACTTGATTTTCCAAAAGCTCGATTGAATTGTTTTCTCTGTGGCTTAAATGACTCGGTAGACACTCTACTTTATGAATATGAAGAGTGTTTGCTCGTGACTCGTCAAACAATTTAAACTCGTTAAACCGCACCGTGCGGAAGTTTTAGAGTTTTCAAAAGATGGAAAATGGATTCTTTCCCTAATCGATCGGCTTTGATTTTGCTGAAAATCGGAGAGGATATAGTTCAAAATTAAGATGGAAAGATTGAAGATTTTATGTTCTTCACAGTAAGCAGGATATTGAATGTTAAAATCCACTCCTCATGGAACTATTTTAGTAAACGAGGTGTATCACAACACATAAAGGGCCACGTCTGCATAAAACTTCTATAATCTCGCTCTATCGGTAACTTCAGGACAGCGCGCCGCGACTCTCCTCAATTGTAAGGGCTCAGGATTTTATAACATGGTAAGATTTCAGTGACTGGAGAATTGGTCAAATTTTGGACTTCGAACGATTGATTAAAAACTTTACTTAAAAAAATAATAATAAAAAAAAAAAAAAAAAAACCACGCGACAAAATACAAGATGTTCCTGTTGTCTTTACTTTGCCTCTTCGATTTTATTTAAGTATTTCAAGTTGATCATACTCTAAAGGCTGCAAAATTTCTTTGCAGCAACACGTAGTCTTTATGGTCATACGGTAGGAGAAAGAAAATTAACCTGTATCGCTGAAATTGTATGCCCTCCACATCTTCCTGAGCAAGAGGAGGGTCGGTTACCCGCTTAGAATTCTCTAGCATCCGAGAATGTTGAAGCAAGAAGCAAACACTGAAGGTGTTGAGGTGAGAAAAAAATTCGTTGCTTCGAGCTCCCCATCCGACGAGAGACGAAGACAAGAATTGGGCGGAGTGAGGGAAAAATAAACACTCGAACTCTGAACACTTATTTGATCATGATCGCATATTGAAATATTTACTCAAGCCATTGGCAAATAAGCTGAATTAAGGTGTGCTTACAGCAGAATTCTCAATGCCAAAGCAACACTTTCGCTACATTTGCCAAATTATCTCGACTCGGTACGTAGCAGATGCTTTTTTTACTGCATGAAATATTTTTTTTAGATGTTCTCCTAAATTCAAGCACATTGGATTGCATTTTGCAAAAAGGAACCAAGAGCATTCTAATGTTGCTATGATAGTGCAACTTAAATTCTTTGAAAAAATTTACTGAAATCATGCAAAAAATTAAATTTCTAAAGGTAATTTTCGTCTAGAATTCCTAGTTTATTGCGAGTAAAGATAAAACTTGGATAGATGATCAGATTATGTTTGCAAGGTAAACAAATTTGCACAATTTTAGCGACATTGGAATGCTCTTGGTTCCTTTTTGCAAAATGCATCCACATAAAATTTTGTCGAAATTGGAGAAAAAATTCCTTCACTTTACATAGATTAACTTAACGAATACCGACTTGGGAAGCACAATTGAAATCCCCTTATTCCAGACATTTTCTTTCTTTGGATGAAAAAGAGGCATCAATAGAGAGGAATGTGTATATTGAAACGCGAACGAGACAAGCGTTTTCTGCTTATTTTAACAGCTTAAAAAAAGCAAGCCGGGAAACGTGGTCAGCTATTAATGTCTGATTCTCGACTGGTTTGTCAAAGAGTTAAGTAAATATCTGTACCGCATGCAACCAATAAAGTAAGCTATTCATCGGACCAAATCTAAAACTGCCAATTCAAACCCCAATCACCCATTTACAGTTCACTCGATTAAAATCAACGATAGAAGAGATGGCAATCGACACTTGACTCGATTCCAAAAATAAATTTCGAACATTAACGCTGAGTGGTTCGCACATTATCGAGCACAGGTATTCACGAGTAAAATCGATGCTCACATTTATATTACACCTGTGAAACTAACTCGATAGACAGCGAGGCTAATAGAAAGAGTGATGAACTACATGTAAAGAGTTGCCAACTTTTGTTTTAATATTCAGGAAACCAAATTATTTTGGAGTGTTTTTTTCTTCTATCTCTGAATGGGTGCGCTATAAAAAAAAAAATAAATTGAAAAAAAAAAATAATGAATAAAAATGAGTTTCAAATTATGTCGACTCTAACAGCGGTGTTTAGTTTAAAAATTATGTTGGATTCTAAGAAGCAGGCAAACTTAATTTTAAAATGCATTTCTCACAAAAAAATAGGCAAATGAAAGCGAAAACTTGCGGACATTTTCCGTGGTTCTTTTCGTAGGGATCATGACAGTTTTTTTAATTAACATCAAGGCATTTTGAAGACTTTTTAAGGGCTCCTAATTAATAAAATCAATAAGAGGGGTATTCAGGATCGTTCAAGGACTATAAAAAAGTTTCCGATTACTTAGTTGGGGGCCCTTCATAAGACGTTAAATATTGGATTGTTAGGCGGAAAAAAAATTCTACTTAAGGTGATTCGATGGACGCCATATTTGGTGTCAAAACGACATGAAAAAATGGAACCAATCGATGCGGTTTATCGCATATCGATCCGACACAAAATAAAGAGTCCGTCGAATCACCTTAATCGCCATTTCGCGTTGACCGTAGTTCGACTTCGCCAGGTTTTACTGTAAAACTTGTTCAGATGATCAGTTTACATTTGGGAGGGGGGAAAAACTGCACATCTTAGCGACATTGCTTTTGGTTCCTTTTCGCAAAATGCAATCAGATTGTTCTCGGAATTGGCAACATAGAAGGAGTGAGAAAAAAAAAGGTATAAACAGTCGGGACTCACCATGAACATAGACGACGGTGTGATGAAGGACGAAGAGGGACAAGATAAACCAATTACAGGGCATCGCAGCTCGATGTACTCCAAAGGACATGATGAAACGATCACTGCACTAACAATAATAACCACGCACGGCACGGCTTTTAATCCTTCGACGCGATTCACTGAACAAGACCGATTTGCGAAAAACAATTAAGCGCACGACACCTGTGTTTAAAAACCACCGACAGCACTGGGCCCGGCCCCATTGTGCAGCATTTTAACTTGGACGCACACATAAATTCACGCGGAATCGTTAAAAGCGGGGCTCGGAAAAGAGAGATGGGTCTCGCGGAGGGCGACCCGCGCCCCGATCTGCGTCTGGGTGCTCCAGATACATCGCGCAATCACGATCTAACACCGTTCGCGTCCGCCTGAAACAAAAAACGAAAAATCAACAGGTTAGTCAAATACAGTGAAACTCGTTTATTCGCCGGTCCCCGGCTCATGAAAAACCAGACATGCAAAATAGTTGCGACGACCCTTAGTGAGTCCAGACACCTACGACCACGCAAGGATGGGGACTCGCACTGAAAAAAAAATCTCGGTGTATTTACTAAAAAAAGGGTAAAATTACCAAGAATTCAGGGTTCTATTTGATCCCAGTTTTTTCTTGGTAAAATTACCATTTATGGAATTGGTAATTTTACCGAGAAATCTCGGTAAAATTATTGACTTTCTCGGTAATTTTACTGGACCTTGGTAAAAACGCCAATATTTTTTATCGACTGTGGTAGAATTACCGAGATAAAATGGCAAAGTTGCCGGGAATTGATTACCAATAAAAGTGGTATTCATACCTGAAAAAAAAACAGTAAAAATACCGGTTTTTAGGTAAGTTTACCAGTCTGTCTTGGTAAAATTACCAATAATTGGTAAAAAAAGTGAGATGGTAAAGGTACCAACGGACCGTGGTAAAAGCGCCGAGAACTTTTTTTCAGTGTGTTTACCTACATGTTGTGTTGTTGAATCAATCGATACCGATACAATCTCAGCGACAGAACACTGAAAAAAAAAAACCTACGGGCTATTTAGACATACTGTCCGTTCCGGGCTCAGAGGCCGAAATTTCCGGGTGCTGGAGCCGTGGCTTCGATTACTCCGGGCTGCTACGCCTGGAACTTTCGGCTTCTGAGCCCGGAACGCGGACGATATGTCTATATGGCCCGTAAGTACGGCTTCCACGACCGAAGTTTTTCTTCAGTGAACGCCTGTTTGGTGTATCGAATACGATCCGTCATATTCAACGTATGCTCGGATTTTAATCTCTCGGTGCCACCCCGTCACTTCCTAGATTCGAAAACACGGATTTTGCGTGTCCCATCAAAAGAGATCATCGAAACCGATGATGACTTCCTCAAACCCGACAAGGATGGAGAGGGACCTGCGCTGCCGTGCTAGGGAAAAACGCCGTATGAACATTCGAGAGTTGCCAAATTTCCCTCGATAAAATGTTTATTTTTGAGAAAAATTACTAATATTTCTCCTTGAAATTTTCAGGGACTTTGGGTAAAATTGCGAACAAAATTTTCTGAAAAGCTGGAAGGAAAATATTCATAAGTTTACTGGGAAATTCGTGATTTATCAAAGGAAATTTGGCAACGCCTGAAGGTTCATACGGCGTTTTTCCTTAGCACGGCAGTGCGAGAGGAGAATAGGAGCACGAGCCGTTTCATCGAGACAGAGCGGAGCCGAAAATATTTCAGCGAAGAAATGAGAGAAAGATAAATGGTCATGGCTTCATTAATGCGCTGCCACCTCTCTCGTCGGAACTCAACACCTTCAGCATCAACCATTCTGAAGGAAAAAGCTGAGCTCCGCCCAAGTCTTGTTACGATGGATAAATTTTTTGAATGATGGGAATTCGAAGCGTTAACAACTTTTTTTCGGCTCTTCGCGAGACGAGGCTAATGTTCCCGGTCATTTCCGACGTCATCGTCGGTTTAACTCGAACGAATCTCTCGGTTTGTTGAGTTATGGAGGGTGAGAGGAGGGGCGGGACCGTAATTCGCTGATTGATAGTCATCGGGTTGTTAGAAAAATTCTAGAATTTTTTTCTGGCTACCTACCGTCAAGATTGTATTAAAATTGAGAAAATTTTATCGAGAGAGAACATGCATGTGTGTTGCTGGTTGCATGTCGACGGTGTAACTCTCAAACCACGGTGCACTGAAAAAAAATTCTCGGCGTTTTTACCACTGTCCGTTGGTACCTTTACCATCTCACTTTTTTTCTAATTATTGGTAATTTTACCAAGACAGACTGGTAAGCTTACCTAAAAACCGGTATTTTTACTGTTTTTTCAGGTAAGAATACCACTTTTATTGGTAATCAATTCCCGGTAACTTTGCCATTTCATCTCGGTAATTCTACCACAGTCGATAAAAAATATTGGCGTTTGTACCAAGGTCTAGTAAAATTACCGAGAAAGTTCAATAATTTTACCGAGATTTCTTGGTAAAATTACCAATTCCATAAATAGTAATTTTACCAAGAAAAAACTGGGATCAAATAGAACCCTGAATTCTTGGTAATTTTACCCTTTTCTTAGTAAATACACAGAGATTTTTTTTTTCAGTGAAGTACGACTCCCAAACCACGGTGTTCCAAAATCTCCGCTCCCATGTTACTATTTTCGAAGAGGAACAAACTAACAACATTCCTTGACGTTTCTACAGAATTTCTTTTCGCACAGAGAAAAAATATCACGGAAGTTGTACAGAACTGCATGGCGTTTCCCATTAAAAAAATACCGTACATGACACGAAGTCTGGAACATCGTAATAACTGCGTGATAGATACGTGGTTTGGAAGTTTCGCCATCGATGTAGTGTACATGTAATAGTAAATTTTTTTCAGTGATTTTTTTCACGTAAGATTTTTTCAAGACTAAGATGAAATATTTTTTCCAGGAAAGGAGGGAAGTGACGAATGTTGGTGCTTCCTTATAATTTGTCTTATCAATGACCACCGACACCTCCCAAAAAAAAAAAAAAAAATTGCAGCGACAAAAAAGACATTTAAGAGATGACTCTTCTTAGAGTGACACGAAACCATCGAGGCGAAATTCGCGATTGATTATCATACACTTATTTTAAGCGAAATTTAGCATTATGAACTTTGTGAACAAGAGTCGAAAACGGATAACTGTCCCCCGTTTTTTCAGTTTTTTTTCTTGATGTAGGTGGGTAGGAAAATAGGAATTTGATACGAACTGCTACCAATGGTGCAGGCAAATCGAAACTGTCTTCGGAGGGGATTCTGTTCTGAGTTTACACCGGTCGGTATTGCCTGTCATGTTTGATCGCAAAAATTCACCTGAACGGCTCAATTTTTTTTTCAGTTGTGCCAGATACTTTATTCGGTACTTGCTATTAATATATACGTTGAAAGTCGATGGGTCCGTTTTTTTTTTAAAAAAAAAAAGAAATGCCCCGACTCAATGCACTGTCTATTTTTCTATCAATCTTCCCCCAAGACATTAAGATAGAATGAGACGTATTATAATACCACGTAGGTGAGAACAAATGAGAAACATGGGAAAATCGCGGAGATAAGGCTAACAAGCTAAGGTAGCGTAGATAAGAGCTAATGATTTTGGCTTGAAAAATAGCTCTTCAAAGGAAAAAATGATAAATACCTAACACAAAATTAAATTTGTCAGAGTTCAGGTCGTTGTGCTTTACACAACTTTTGGAGCTGATGAAGGATGAAGCCCCGGTGCTGTTCTTCAAGACTGAAGTCTTAAAATTTTCTACATCATGTACCTTCCAGATCATTATTTTTACAAAAGCATACCTCTTTTTAGAACTTCCTTAGATGAGTTAGTGACTTTCACGGACTTTTCAAACCGTGCTTTTCATTCTACGCGAGTGTCATTCCCAAAATTTTTAACAAAAATATCGACTTAGAAGAACAGTGACGTGCTCTGTGGGTGGAATTTTCTTTCCTGAAAACTGATTATCTTTTAGTGCGATTTTCACTTATATCGAAACGAGAAAACTAAACACCAAAGTCTAGTTAATCACTGAGAAAAAGCTATGGTTTATAAACCTATTAGTGGTAAATATGGAACACCTATAATAGTCGTAAATAAACTAATGATTCTCGGTCTGTGAACCATACTAAGGTCTCTGTACCTAATTAAGGTACAGAGACCATAACTAAGGTATATGTGCTATTATTATATGTAGAGGTACTACTATTAGTGGTGTTCCATATTTACCTCTAATAGGTTTATAAGCCATAGTTTTTTCTCAGTGATACGGGAGGTAAGTAAAACACAAAATAACACAGGAAGCCTCCGGTTGACTCTGGGGTTTCCCTAGCTTCATTGATTTCTGCGTTAAATTCACGGCAAATTGTACTAAAATAAACACAAAATTTGGGTTAGTTTGGGTTTTACTTCAAATTTTAATCAAATGTAACATAAGAACACCTTTATCAGAGGTGTGCTTGCCAATTTAAAGGCGCTTTGTTGGAAGTTTGAAGTTTCAACTGATTTTTTCATGCCTTTCCTACAATCGAACTGGCATCCTATTTTGGCCGTAGCATAACACAAACGGCAGCTTTCACTTCTGACCACAAAACGGAAAGTCGAAATCAAAAGTTTCGTCCTCTGAAGCTGCTTCAAAGAAATAAATAAATAAGAGCTGCACACGTGTACGAGAAGAGGTTAGTTGTGATTTATCGTACAAAATTTAAGAAGATTGGCGATAACATGTAGATGGTACCTAGCTCAAAAGAACAGAATTTTCGAATTACTGCTAGACAACGAGCGAGTACAAATGATGAGAGAGCATACACGAAATTTTCTACCCGTTTGCAAGCCCTCTCAGTAGCTCCTGTTGTTCGTGTTGGGTGCAGAGCGTCGTAAGTATACTAATGATTAAAAAGCTATGACTAGTCTACGAACTTTTCGGATTTTTTCAAGTTCCAAAGGTTAGAGTAGGTTAGGCGGCAGTTTAGAAGAAAAGGAGACTGAAGGCACCAAACGTAAACAAACATGCAAATCTACAAAATGTGCATCAGAGATCACCAAATGAGAATCATATTTCAACTGAAATATACCTGTTTTAGAAGGCTGCTTCGTTATCCAACAATGCAATATCCTTCAAACAGAACTATTTAAATCCAAACCAGGGATGACGGCAATCACACGAAACCACTAAGTAATCCAACTCGCGAAAACACTGAGTAATCCAGACACCGAAGCACGTAAACGGTTCGGCACAACAACGGGGAAAACACAGCAGCTCCTCCGAGCAAAAGAACCAAACAGTGACAACGATATCACCGCGAAAAAAACGCTCGATACAAATAGATGGAAGCGATGAGGAATCCACGCACAATTAGTACTCTTTTAGGTTATGAT